CCGGACGCCCTCAGGTGGATTTGAACCCGAACCGCGGAATTCCTAGCCCAGTATTCTGTCATTGAGCCACAAGGAGCTGATGGTGTTCCGGGTTAAAATCACGCCTGTTAAGGCTGTTAAAGCATGCATAGCATCAGTGCGCGGCTCGACTTTCATCATAACTTTGATTAACACCGTGTTTTCTTAGGCTTCTTTTTCTTAAAATTCCTATATTTTTTTTCATTTTTTCGTGTTAATTTCTTTTCGTGTTATTTTTTTTTTACCTCGTCAGCATTGACTCAATACTGTTGTTTGATATATTGAAGGTATCAGTGTTATATTCATGCTGACGCGGTATACCTTTTAACCGACAATCTTAATATCATACTGCATTAGTGTTGATGATATCATGTCAACATCCAACAATATGTATCAGTATTGACATAAGATTCTGTGCTATGTGGGATTGCAGCAACTGGTGTCTCAATATACTTTTACTACTTAGCATACTGTGAGGACGCCAGGGAAAGAGTGTGCTTATTGCCCAAGGAAATTTTTCATGAAGTTGTTAGGTAATGCCTTATTTATGCCCAGCTTGTTGGTTGATTGATCAGTTTCTCCACACCTTCCTCCTTGCAGTCACAAAGACTTCTGATGACTATCTTAAAAGACAACCTTGATTGCCCTCATTGATGTAGATGTCTCAAGGTCTGTAAAACATCATGGAGTAGTAATTTCAAGTTGGTCGTAGTGTGAAGTGCCACAAAGATTTTTCAAACAAAAAGAAAAAATTTGTATTCAGATTTAATTATCACTGGCAGTTGGCATTATTGATGACCATTAGGTGTTGGATTTTTTCAGTTGTCATCAATATTTTGACGTGTGTGTAACAATGCTGATTTCTAGAATAAGCACTGAGCATGAACCAGGGTTGACCTAAATAATTAAGGTTTCTGTTGGTGGTCCATAAGTGGGAAACATCACAATAAATAACCGTAAATCACCTCTAGTTTATTCATTATATTTCTTCACTTTCAGCCCTGGCTCTCATTCGGATGAAATAAGTAGTCAAGAGTTCATTTTAATGGTTTTACCTCTCTTGAAAACTTTCATGAGTTCAAAGGAAGGGATCTTTCTCTAGAAATCTAATTCATATCGATTGACTTTACATCTCAGACCATCATGTGGCAACAAAGAAGTACTTACTTTAGTTTATGATTGAAAGAAAAAGGAGGATATGTGTGAAAAGCATCTAATCAAGAGAATATGATCACCTAATTTATTTCTTTTTCCTTGCAGTTCCTGAGTCACGTTTTTGAAAAGAACGTGGTTGGTTTGATTTTAAATTTCATCGACAATATTGGAAACAAAACGTTCATCGCGGTTAGCCTTTGAAGCTCTGAAATACCTGGCTGCACTTCTGTGCCACAAAAAGTTCTCAATCGAGTTTCTCAGCATGAATGGTCTCCAGGTATGAATATGTCTTAGAAAACCCATTTCTTGATAGCTTTCTTTCATTATCGTCCATCGCATTCTCGTTGATGTTACTCTGTAGTAATAATTTATGAT